TGGCACGGAATGGGTTCAGGTGACGTCGGGCATGTCTGTTGCCCATCTGTGGCCCCTGCCCTGCTGTCACCCACTGGGGCTCAGGCAAGCCAGCAAAGCCCTCATTTCTTGGAAGCAGGTGCGCTTCTCTCCCTCCTCCATCAGCCTGCACTGGGGAGAGTCCAGTTGAAGAGAAGGGTCTGACTCCCAAGTCCCCACCTGCCTCCCCTGCCCTGAGCCTCTGCCCTGCCTCCACCACATGGAGCCCCCACAGCTGGGCCTCCCACCTGCACCAGATCTCATCAGAGCCCTCCTCCCCTACCAGGGGCTGGCTGAGGGTAACAGTGCAGGGCAGAACCCTGCATCCAGCTGTTTTGACACTCTAGAACTAGGCCTCCTTTTTGTGGTGTTTTTCCAAAATCTCTCCTTGCAGAGAAAGCTGCAAATAGTTCTGAAAACACCTAACAGAGCAGTGGCCCATCAGCGGGACCAAGCATCATCCAGTGGCAAGAAGGGAAGAAATGATCAAGAACCAGAGATAGATTTGCAGTTCAGTATCTGAAAACATACAGAGAGGCTCATAGACCAAGCCACATGCGGGGGAGGAGACACAGACACAGACCAGTAATTCCCTAACTAAGCTCCCGAACCAACCCAGCCCTAAGGTTTAAGGGCCATCAAACCACACTGCAGGCATGAAGATCCAGATGACAGTTGGCCTTCAACCTGGGCACTGACCTTTCGGCTACAGCAGCCTTAGGTGTGACTACAGGGGACGCTCCATCAGCTAGCAGAAGAGTCTTAGTGGATGTGGAGTCCCCACATGGAATCCACCTGCAAAGCTGCCTTGAATGTTATGCCCAGTCTATGTGTGCCAGGAGGCAGGGGCAGGCAGGAGGGGTCTCTGCTCTGAGCCCCCACCCTGCTGAGGGCACAGCATGCGATCAGGCCCTGGGGATCCCAATGGACAGTCCCGCCGCCCTTCCTCCTTCCCAGCTCCGCAGATGTTTCTTGGCGGAGGCCTCCCACCTCCATCTCCCTTCCCTCTAGGCCCGATGCTCCGAACACACACCGCATCTCCTGAAAAAGGAGACATTTAAACTCAAAAGGAAGGGTGCGGAGAGTCGGTCATTCTCCATTTGGGGTCCTTCAAGATTGAGAGGGAAAAGGGAAGAATGAAATAGGAGCCTTCCCATTCACCAGTGTTATAAACAGTTATAATTTAGCACTGAATAATTGGTTGCTATGGTAACCGCTGCAGTACAGGTTGAAATCATTTCTCCCTCCTGCGCTCGCTAGGGTCTGACAGGGAGCTTCATCTACATATGCTCAGGTTCCGGCTGCAGCCCGGTTATTTTATGTAAATCAGAATCCACGACTTGCTGCCGGCCTCCCCCAACCAACAAACTGTGGCTTGCGGCCCACCTGCCCTGGTCCCTTTGCCCCGTCATCTTGGAGCCACCTGGTTGGAGGCAGGGAGGGGCAGAGGGGCGAAATCCCCTTGCCTTTATCCTGGGGTCCCAAGTCTGCCAGGCAGGTGGGCAAGGGGGCACCCAGCAGCTGGGCCACAGCATGCTCCAGACCCCCTAAGATCTGACAGCTGGCCCGAGCCAGGCTCTCAAATGCAAGGGAGGGGGCACCTCCGGAGGCCTCTTGTCCATCCCAGCCCCCTTCCCCTTCCAAGAACCAGAACTGCATCTCAGCAGAGAGAAGGAGAGAGGGTGAGGAAGGGGTGGAGCGAATGAAAGAGAGGGAGGGAAATGAGGGGAGAGGGGGAAGAGAGAAAAGAGGGCCAAGGACAGAGAGGAGATGCCGAGAGGTTACCAAGGTGGAGACCAAGCACAGGCCAGAGGGAAGGACCAAGTCTGAGACCCAGAGAGAGACAGACAGGCAAGAACCAGAGACAGACAGGGACCTGGACAAAAACCAAAAACATATTGTCAGAGAAAGAAGCGGGAGGGAAGACCTGGGCCAGTTGGAAAGGGAAGGCTCAGCGTGATCATCGCTCTGGGAATGAGAGAGTCGGAGAACCAGCCCTCCCAGGCCTCAAAGACCACCTGGCCCCCAGCCCTCAGGCCTCGCCACTGTCCAGACGCTGCCCACCCCCCAAGCCTCCTTCCTAGCCAGGGCTGGGGCTGTACCCTGAGCCCAGGAGAGGGGAGGGGAGCCAGCCCTACCTGGGGGGGACAGGGGCTTCCATAGGTCTCTGCTGCACCCCACTGGTTCCTTCATCTGCATTTAGGAGCCAGGCTCACCCAGCACAGTGGCCTGAGACCCAGGCCCAGGTGACACTGCCCCTCTTGGCCTAGACTCCCACCCAGCTTCTAACTCAGAGGAGGTACACAGGGGGTGCACAGGTAGGAGTCCCTGCCATGGACCACAAGGCCTCAGGGTCCTAAAATCCACATCACCCTGAGCCCATGGAGCCCAGGTGTGAGGAGTGAGGGCGGGGACGGCAGCAGAGCAAGATTTCACAGCCTCTGCCAGACGGTCTCAGTGCCTTCATCCCAGGGCCTTGCAGCCCCAGAGCCATCTACCCCCTAGGGGCCCAGCACAAGGACCGACCTCTGGGGCCAGGGGGCAGCGGCCACAGCAGCAGAAGAGGAGGGCAGGGGCTGCAGCAGGGAATTCAGGGAGTCCCTCACCAAAGGAGCTGGCTCACAGCCTCTCCTTCCCTGGGGGACCCTCCAGGCACACAGTTCCCGCTTCCCCTGTCCTATCTCCACGTACCCATCGAATTAGAGGGACAGGGAGCTTCACCCTCTTTGAGACCCTGGGGAAGATGCAGGAGCCTCAGAGCATAGGCCTGGGAGTCTCTGGGGCATGATGGGCCAGGCAGGAGCCTCGACACCCAGCTCCACAGATCCGGGTCCCCCCTTCACCTCACAAATCCTCCCCATGCAGCCCCCATGCTGGCCCAGTGGTAAGGGGGGGTTCCTGGAAAGGGACAGACACACATCCATCCCCGACACTGTGCCAGATGGGGCACAGAGCTAAGGGGCAACAGAGAAGGCAGGCAGAATCGGGCAGAGGGGCCAGGGTCTCTCCAGGGGAAGACAGGGTGGTACACACACAGTCATATGCACACACTCATGTGCACGGAGGACCAGAAAGGCCTGGATCGGCTGCAAAGCAGGTGGGGGTGGGGGCAGGCAGCAGTGGGGATGCCACACAGGCTGCGGACCAGGGGGCCGTGGGGCATGGTCAAGCCACACTCAGGAAGCTTTCCCAGGAGAGCCCAGGGCTGCAGGGGCCTGGCAAGGCAGAGGCCGGGAGAGGAGGGCCGGTAGGAGGTAGGTGAGAGGTGCTGACCGCCGCCCCCAGCAGAGAGCACAGGGGCAGGACACACCTGGGGCAGCTCTGACCAGAGGGGTGGGGCCAACACCTCCCAGCCCCATCCTTTCCATGGCAGTCCCTGAGCTCCGTGAGGACCAAGGACACAGTCCAGGGCAGGCTCTGCCCTCCCAACGTCCCCAGGCTGACACCCAGACCAGAGGAGGAACCACAGGCTGCAGGTAGAGTTCAGAGCCCTCCAAAATGCCACCAAGTCCCCAAACAAGCCGGGGAGGTGGAAATGGGACACAGACCCGAGGCCCAGAGGTGAAGGCAGGGACCCTCGCCCCCTGTCACCACCATCTCTCCCTCCCCAGGGCTCTGCTCCTGCCTCTGGCCTGGCCCTGGAGCTGCCAGGGGAGCCTGCCAGGCTGTCATGTCACATCACTCTCTCCTCTGCTCAAAGCCTTCCAGTGATCGCACCTTGTTCACAGGACAAGAGACCCATGGTGCACCCCCCGCAACAAGCCCTCCCGAAACCCTCACAGCAGGGAGCACCTCCAGCCTGGGACAAGCTCCCCAAACCCACCCCTAGGCTCTTCTGGCAGCCACCTCCCCATAGATCCAGGCCCAGTGCTGCCAAGGGCACCCCCTTAGCATTAGCACCTCACCCCACCACCACTGCACCTCACCAGCTACCTCCCTGGGCCTCTCACTTGCAAGGTGGGGCCAGCCCAGTCCCCTCTAGGCAGGGGGAAAGAAAGGTGGAGAGCTGGCCTCAGGTCCCCGGGGCAGGCAGGAGAGGAGAAACACGCCTGGCAGGGGCAACTGGTGCAGCTGACAGCCCTGGGTTCAGATCTCAGTACTGCCACTGTGTCACTGTGTGACCTTGGGCCAGGGCACCTCTGAGCCTCTGCTCTCATCTGTGAAGTGAGGTGCCTGCCATTGTTCTCAACATAGGGTGGCTTGGAGGATCAGAGGAGACACCCAGAAGGAAGCCAAAAACATATGGTGAGGAAATGGCAGAGACCTCAGTGTGCCAGTGCAAGTAGGAAGGACTTAAAGCTGCAAACTCGCCTCAGTTTCCCCATCTGCCAACCGGCGATCATCCTTCGCATGCCACCAATTTCCAGGGCTGGTCATGAGGATCAAGTGAGCCCGTGTGAAGCACAGAGAAGCACGCTCGGAATGTGTCAGCAGCGTGGGAAGACAAGGGACATGTTCGCACCGTCACACCCCGCCAACCAGAGGCAGCGGAGCGTGCGGCAGCCTCGCCCATCCAGAACCAGCCGAGAACCAGGGAGAAAGTGACAGGAATGCAGAGGTCACCTGCAGGTGACTGTCCCTAAACGGGGCGTTGCTTCTCTTCTCCAATTGACTTCACTTTCTTCAGGTTTCAGTTTAGAGGGACGGAGTCAGCTATGGAGCGGGGAGCGGGGCAGGGAGGTAGGGAGGCACCGTGGCGACAGAATCTGGCCCTGTCCCCACACAGGATAGCACGACAGGAGGAAGGAAAAATGACGCTCCGACATCCTGCTCCAGAAACAGGATAGCTCAGCAACGTCTTAAAAAGGCTTCCGTGCACAACGCTTCGTATCAGACACTGGTTATGGCGTTCTTCATCAAACTCAGCTCTCAGACACCCTCAAACTCCAAGGTCCAGGGACCCCAGCCCTCCTCTGCGGCCGGGCAGACGCAGCCACAACCCCACCTGACCCCAACTCGCCAGCACAGGTGCTGCCCCTCACCTCTTTCTTCTTCCGCTTCCCTTTACGCGTGTTTTCCTTGAGCTTCTTGGGTTTCTTCTTCTTAGGAAGGCTCACGGGCTCCACAGGGAAAAAGTCATCGAAGCCTTCAAGACCACCATCTTCTTCTTCTGGAAAAATCAGAAGGTGGCAGTGGTTACTCCTGAGCTTCCTCCAGGACAGCCCTGAAGACACAGCGCCAGCCCTGGGGATGCTGAGACCCCGGACACCCAACTGTGCCAGGTCACAGCCACCCTGCTCTCCCCAGACCCAGTGAAGTGGGAGAACACAAAACAGGAGCCCCAGCTCTAGGGACTGTGTGACATCACCTCACCTCCTGGCCTTTCCTTCCCTCCTCTGTAATGGGACAATAACCACCTGGCCGTGACAGGAAACTGAGCATTCAGAAAACTGAACCTCCATGAACAACAAATAGAACTGCCTTGCTGCCGTCACTGCCCGAGAAACAGAGCGCCTCTACCAGGAAGGAGTCGGGGCCGACAGAGCAGAGCACAGACCTCAGTGAGGCCCATCTCTCCCCTCCACAGAGAGGACCACAGTGTGGCCAGGAGGCGACTTGAGAACGCTGGACCTGCCGGGCACGGCGGCTCACGCCTGTAATCCCAACACTTTGGGAGGCTGAGGCGAGCAGATAACCTGAGGCCAGGAGTCTGAGACCAGCCTGGCCAACAGGATGAAACCCCGTCTCTACTAAAAATACAAAACTCAACTGGGCATGCTGGCAGGCGCCTGTAATTCCAACTACTTGAGGCTAGAGAATCGCTCAAACCCAGGAGGTGGAGGTTGCAGTGAGCCGGGATCGCACCACTGCCCTCCAGCCTGGGCAACAGAGTGAGACTCCGTCTTAAAAAACATAAATAAATAGAGAGGGAGAGAATTGTGGACCACAGGGACGCTCAGGTCCCATACCTGAGGTCCCCGGGGATTTGCAGGACAAACTCAGCAAGGAAGATGCCAGGATACGCCACGGGTTTGACAGGATGCTGCCTCAATAGAGAATCCAAGACCATATTGTATCTCCTCCTGGATCCCGCACCTGTGCACACACAGGCACACAGGTCCACACTCCCCCACCTCCAACACACTCACAACGGGAAACCAAGCGCATTACAGCTGGGCACTAGAAAGCTGTGACAGTCCACAGAAAGATGCTGTGCCCAGCATACCTGAGTGTTCAGGAGCTGCCCTCACCTGCACTGACTCGGAAGGCCGAGGGGGCCCAGGCCGGGCAGGCTCAGGAGGGAAGTATCTTTGAAGACACTGGCCACAGTTCCAGGTCTGCCTCCCTCAACCTCCAACCCAGAGGAAGGGCTGACATGTGTCCTGGGGGGTGTGACATGAGACCCCTGCTGTGGCAGCAGTGTCCTGGGGTCTGACCCTCATCTGAGAAATCAGGAGAGACAAAGGGTAGCCAAGCCTGGAGTTCCCGCGCACCAGACATGAGCTGTGGAGGGGCAGTGGGGAGGGTCCTCTTGGCAGGCAGAGCAGCAAGAATCAAACCATCCAAAGTAGAGACACTTCTGCCTGTGGGGGCAAAGGAGGCTTCCAGAAGGAAAGAACCTCCAAGAGTCCTCTAGAAGGGCCCACGAGAGAGCGAGTCCTTCATGCCAGCCTGCGGCCCCAGCGCCCCATCCAGCTTGCCCTACCCGCTCTCCACCATCACCTGTGCACTCAGGAGCACTCAGGGGAAGCCGAGGAGCAAAGAGAAGCCCCTCAGCCTCAGACCCTCTGCCACGGACACCCCAGACCCGACCCTCTGTGACAGTGGAGACACAACAGGGAGTGTCACTCAGAGTCTGAGGGTTGTTTCGAGTGGGACCCGAGGAGGACGAGAGGTCCTGGGGCCACCAGGAGGCTTTCACCCAGAAAGCGGGCAGTGTCCCCACTGGATCAAGTTGATAGAGAGCCCCTTCCCCCAAGGAATTTTTTTTTTATCATAACCACTTACAGCTGGCAGTGGTGGAGCCAGGTTTGAACCCAGGCAGTCTGGTGACCTTAGGGTCAACAAAAGGGCCTCGAGGCGTCCCCCAGCATGGCCCACACGCTCAGACACACTCGCCACATGCAGACACACAGACACGCATGTGCGCCCAGGACACACCCAACACTCACCTGTCACCCTCCACACAGGCCCCCATCGCCTGGCCTGGGACCCCTGGAGAGTCCTAGGCAGAGAAAGGGGGACAGGGGGCCTCCTACCCTGGGTCTCTGGGGCTCCCATTGCCCACATCATGGGTGCAGCTTTAGCCTCACCGTCCCCACTCCTCTGGGGCACTGGTGGCTCTGGTGGCTGAGCGGACGCCCCTCCCACCCCTGCATCCCACAGGGCCAGTTTGCACCAGGGGAAGGTGGGGGCTGCACCACTGTCTTGGTGCCTCTCTGCACCAGGGCCTTCCTCAAGGGTGGCCAGGTGCTTGGGGCTCCCACACAGGGAGGGCACCCTGTGGAGGGCTAGGGCACACAGGGGAGCCAACAGCAAGGGCTGCCCCAGGTGGGTTTATGTGGGTCAGGCCCCACACAGCCAGGGGCAGGGGCTGGGCTGCTCCAGCTGACCCCGTCCCATTCCTCTGATCACTGGTGTGGGAAGGTGGGGATTTTTCAAACCAGCTGAAAACGTGCACAGGGACCCCCTCCTAGACTTGTCCTGCAGAGTAGGTGTCGGTGGGGCAGTGGCAGAGCTGGCAGGGAGCTGTCTGTGGTGGGGCAGCTGATGGGATGCCAGTCCACAGCTGCCCACTCTGCCACCCGGCCTCCGCCTCCCCCGCCACCGCAGGAGACCGCCTGGGCAGAGCCACCCCCACACCCTGGCAGTGCCCAACACTGCTTATGTAATGGGCTCCGGCTGATGCAATCTCGAGGGGGGGCCTCTCCCTCCTGCTTCCTTCCAGCTGTCCCCTTCCAGCAGGGTGGTCCCAGACTTAGGAAACCCAGCCCGGCACATGGTCACTGACTGGTCGCCTGAGCAACAGAATGGACGAGGGCATGCACAGGTGGCTGCCGGAAATTCTGGAAGGAAGTCTGGGATCTGCCCATGGGTAAGGGGAGGACAGAGGACCCCTGCTCTGGCCCTACCCCATGCTCAGAACAGGCCTCTGAGGACAAGGCCCCAGACCCTCTGCCCGTGGACAGACCCCCACTCTGTTCCCAGAAGACCTCACAGCCCAGGGCCTCTGCCTGGTGAAACCCGCCTCTGAGAAGGCTCTGGAGCTGGCACACGGGAACAGGAACTCAGCCCTGCCTACCCCTGTCTCTGATGGGCCCTTCCTCTCCCCAGATGGCTTCAGGTGGGTGGCCCTGAAGTCACCGCACACCTGATTCTCTGTGACACTGCCCCCACCACCACCCCACACAGTCCGGTCTTCAGCCAAGCCTCAGCCCCTTCCCGCCCTTGGACACCCTCTGCTTCTGCAGCAGGCCCTGAGCTTTCCAAAACCAGACCTGGGGGTCACCATCCAAGCAACTCCACAGTCAGCCTTTCCCCAAGCCCCAGCCTGTGCCCTTGAGCCCACCAGTTCCTCCTCCCTATGGCTCCATCTGGTGGGGACACAGCAGAGGCCCAGATGGTTCCAAGACACAGAGCATGCAGCCAGTGATAAGACAGGATCCCACCCATGCCAGGTGAGGGACTCCGGGGAGGAGCAACCTCACCTCAGAACTCCTCGTCCTGCCAGCTCCTGGCCCCTCGTGGCTGCCTCACCGCCCTCCTGGCCCACCTGGCATTGCCCTCGTGCACCAGCCCTACCCCTCCAGGGCCTGAGGCTCCATGGATCCAAGCCTGCTCTAATTAAGACCCATTACCCTGTGATCACCCACCTCCTGGGGGTGGAGGCAGGGTGGGGCTGAAGTCAACCAGAGGAAGGAGAGGCACCTTCTGCTGCTTCCTCCAGAGCTCCCCCAGCCCCTGTGTAGCTCCCAGTACGCGCCAGCTCAGCCCTGCGGGATCCCCAGGCTAGCCTAGGCTGCCACTGCAGGATGCGGCCAGGCCAACGAGGGTAGTGCATTGCAATAGCGGCAGTTACCTGCATACCATCTGCCAGGCTCGTGCCAGGCCCAAAGTACCTAGGACTGATTAATCTGTATCAGTTCAACACAGCAACTCAGAAAGGGGTACTATTCTTTCTGGTCTGCAGCTTTTATTTATTTATTTATTTATTTATTTTATTTATTTTAGAGACAGTCGCTGGCTGGAATGCAGTGTTATGATCATGGCTCACTGCAGCCTCGACCTCCTGGGCTCGAGCGACCCTCCCACCTCAGCCTCCTGAGCAGCTGGGACAACAAGCACAACCACCACGCCTGGCTCAGAGACGGGTTCTATTCTTATCCCCATCTGCAGATTAGGAAACTGAGGCTCAGAGGACCTCATTATTTACCCACATCTCAGTCCTACAGCTGGCAGTGGTAGAGCCGGGTTTGAACCCAGGCAGTGGGCGCCCACCCCCTTGCCAAGTCTCTCCCCCAGCACCCTCCCAGAATCCAGCATTGAAACAGCCCACGCTGTGTAAACCTGCTCGGTGTATGCCCTGGGGACACTGAGGTGACTCAGGCTGGTCTGTGGTCTGGAAGGTCACAGGTCCCTCAAGGGGGTCAAAGCTGGTTCACCACACTAGTCCCCCTGCACACAGCCCCACGGCTCTGCCAGGCCCAGGCTCCAGCCCCCGACTCCTCTTGGGGGGGGCAGCAGCGGAGCAAGGACGCAGTCGCCACGGCACCTGGCAAACACAAGGTGATCAAAACAAGGGGAAGGCACATGACTGTGGAGCGAAAGTTAGGTCATCTGATTCTCGGCGGTCGAAGGATTTGCAGGGGGCCAAGCCAGGAGCTGGGATGAGAACACCATCACCAGGTTGCAAAGGCCAGCAAACCTGCCAAGGACAGGGACCCCGCTCAATGTCCACCGCTCTCTCCAGGACCTGGGGAGAGGGGCTCCTGCTGTTCCCCACCCGGACTCCCCAACCAGCACCAAGCAGAGAATCAGGCCACCAGGGGGTCAGGAGGAGGGAGTAACAGGGGCAGCAGAGGCTTCATGCTACCCTTCCTGGGGGTGACACCAGCAAGTTCCCTCCCCACTGAGCCTCTCTCTTCATCTGTGAAATGGCCATAATGTGGC